GGTGGTGGTGAAGGCCACGCACATGCACGACTCACTGGCCCTGGCGAGGTGCATTTGGGACTGGAAAGCATCAACGTGGTCGTTGGGGTCGAAGGACCCATCATACTTGTCCAAAGGTGGGAGCTTGAAATCTCTGGGCATGGGGACCGCCAGGAGTTCTGATGCGAGGGGGGAAGGAACTGAGAGAATCGAGGCAGCTTTTACCTCATCCAAGCTCGTCTCTTCCTTACCTCTGAGCTCGGGCAGGACACGAGTGGCAGTTCGGCGACTTCACCGGCGCCTTCGTTGTTGAGTGGGCCTGGTACTAGCGTTGCTGGCCTCTGTGTTGCCAAGCTCGATGGGCCCGGAATGCTGGTAGTCTGCTGCCAGGGCGCTGAATCGGTTCTCCGTGAGCGGGAACTCAGGCCTGGAGCGTCGAGGTGCTGACCTTGCGGGCAAGGTTCCTGACCCGCCTGCAAGCTGCGAGGTGGGGGTGATTTTTCTCTCTCTTCGGCTTGGGGACGAGGCCTAGTTGTTAGGGGGGTTCTGGGGCCGGGAGGCTTTTCCTTGGTGGGGGCGTCCATCCTGTGGGGAGGCCTTAACCGGCTTTAGAGAAGGGTGCCGAGGTGGAAGTAGTGGTTGGTTCAGAGGCAGTTGGGGGAACTGCTGTTGATAGCGATACTGGGAGATGTTGTGCAGAACTTGATGCTGCTGGAGCTGGTGTTGCTGGAATTGTTGCATTTGGGCTTGCATTGCCTGCATGCATTGCATCAGGTCGTCCAACTGGTTTTGGCGGGTTTCCATGGGGACGGCAGTTGGTTCAGTAAAGGTTGTCCCGATAGGGAGAGGAAAGGGGATGCTCATGGTAGGAAGGTTTACGGGCGCCATTGCTTGTGGCGCATTCAAGCTGGGGATCCCATCCATAGAAAGGGGGGTGGTGAACTGTCCGACGCACACCACGGGGACTTGAAGTTGTTCCCCGGTGGTGTTTGTCTCCGTGCCACGTCCGGCGTTGCTGGAAGAAGCCATGAGTGTTGGGGTTTTTGGAGAAAAGAGGTTATGAGAGTTTAGATGGAGGCTTTTAGAAGCGATATCCCACAGACGGCACCAATTGATGGTGCGCAATCCGGTTGGTCCTAGCTGTCAATGACCTTGCATCTGAACGGAGCTACAGGGAGCCTGAAACAGAGAAGATGAGAAAGCTTCGGGTGGAACCCGATATGAAGGCTCCGAAGCTCAAGTTAGAATTCTTAGGCAAGATAAAACCAGATGGCGCAAAGTTAACGTACCTTGTTCTTGGGGGGTAGGGAGCCTTTTATAACCACCTCGTGCACTCACTCCTAAACTTCTGTCAGGTCGGGTATGATTACCTCTGGGCTCCTGCTAGTTCGGGTGTCATCCCCTCTGCTAGACAGAACCGCCACTGCTCCCTTTTGTCGGAGCCATCTCTGCGACTGGCGATGACGGTGGCAGGTGACCGTTGAAGTGCGGCTGTCAAGCGTCAGATCCCAAGTTAGTCAGGTGCACCACCCTTGGATATGGACCTCCTTGATGTCAGGTATGGTACGTTTGTTCAGTTCGGCGTCCTAGAGGCGAAGTGCTGGAGTGGCAAGCGAGGTGAAGTCTTGAGTTTGGATAGGGGAGTGTCCCAAACTGCCATGAGGCGGGCCAGTTCGGGTCATTGCCTTGTGTGGCTCGGGGCCTAAGGTAGTGTTCGGGCTCCTCGTAGGGAGTTTCGGGCTCCTAGTAGGGAGTTCGGGCTCCTCGTAGGGAGTTCAGGCTCTTAGTAGGGAGATCGGGCTCCTCGTAGGGAGTTCAAGCACCTAGTAGGGAGTTCGGGCTCCTTGTTCAGATTGCTGGTGGGGAGTTCGGGCTCCTTATGGGGAGTTCGGAATGTTGGTTTCCTCCCTTTGGTACTTGCGCACTGGGTGCGCTGTAATGCCAAGTTGTTTGCCTTTACCACGTGTTGAGTGATTATAAGGTCGGGGCAAATCTTCCTTCATCAGATTTCAATCTGGACTATGTAGTGTAGTGCTTAGGGATACTTAAACACTTTTCATACCCACAAGGCCACAACATATTATTCCAAATTTTTGATGAATAAACGCAACGAACACAACACAAAAGCCTGTAATTCATTTAGAAAGTTGGAAGTGAAAAAGCAGCATGGGCATGGTAGGGGTGGCTGATGGTTGGGGGGCAGTAGAAGTGTCCAGCAGACAATGGGTTCTATAATCCATTCGTTCTCATAGTCCCAGTAAGGAATATAGATAGTATAGTAGAGATTAGAAGGTGTGAGAGAATAGATTAGAGAGAGAGTACATACGTCCTCTGTCGCCTCGGAGAATTCTGCTTTCTCTCGCCCTGTTGTACTGCAATGGGTGGTACGTTTTTCCTTAGTACACTAGTGTGATTGCAGTAGTACCACCATCCATCTCTCACGTTTCTATGGTGACTGGTGAGGACTGAGGACTGAGGCGGGCAGCTGCGGTCTGTTGTCTCATTTATATACACAATAAAGAATAAACCCATCTTTAGTCTTTTTACATTTGCTATAATTCCGAAATCTTCTTTCATTGGTTGCCACTTGGCATTTAAGAACTAGATCTCTATCCATCTATCAGCATCTGATGGGTTTTCATCATCATCACATATCACATAGTCAGGTCAGACATTGGGGGTAGGCATCACATGGATTAGGACCCACAATTGCATGTATTGTCGTTGTTTTATTTGGTTGAGAATGGGTGAAAGGAGTCTGTCTAATTAACAGGTACCTTTCATTCATGTACGACCCAGGTAGGTGGTAGGGCTAAAAAATTTTAGTAGTACAGATTAAAAAGAGGCCAATTGTGCAATTAGTACTTGCCCCCCGTGTACTACATATTTTAGCCCAAACGCCCGTATAAACACCCACCTTCCAACTCACTCACGCCATCCATCTCTCTCTCTCTCTCAACCGCAAGAGCAAGAGAACAGAACAACTCAGAAGCAGAGCCCAAACGCAAAGGTATGTAAGATATATGGCAAGTAATGTAGAGGGAGGGATTGGGGATGGAGGCAAGAGACAGATAGACAGACAGGGATAAGACAGAGCATGGGATGGACCATTCAACAGAGGCATGGAGCTGTTGTTGCTCTTCCCATGCACTGCCTCTTCCCTGGCTCTCTCTCTCTTCCCTCCTCTTATCCCTTCTCTTTCTACCTGTTTTGTTTTTCTTCCTCTGAGTTTTTAAGCAAGATGCCATTAGTGATTTGTGAATACTCATTCACCACCTATTTCTCTTTACTCATATTTCGAGGTTCGAAACACGGCAAAAGTTTGGGAACATTGTGTAAACCATGTAAATAGAGATATGAATAGAGCTGCTCATGAACCAACATATAATGTATGTAAATATAACATAGTAGCAGAAAATGAGAGCAGTCAAAAACCCTTTTGTAATGAAGTTCCTTGATCAATGCTAGCTTTCTGAGTTTCTTTTGGTAAAAAAAAAAAAAAACATCTGGGAACATTGTAGTGTGTATAATTGAAATAATGATAGGGCAAATTATTCCTCCTGTTGGTTTCTCCCATCTCCCTTAGAATATTCCATTTTGGTAGACTAATCTGGCGATAGGGACCACCCTCGTACCCGGATATGGGAGATTCAATAATCTTATCCATTTAAGCCGGATTCAGATATGACTTCACAAGTACGGAGCCCACTATATCAATCTGGTCCGTTCTATGGATTTGTATAGAGGTGAACATAGGTTTGTTCGGTTCAGTTTTTAAGGCAGAATTTAGAAACTATTCGGGTATATTTGATTCGATTTTAACCTATCCTATAGGGTTGGTTTCTGTGTAAGTCAATTGGCTGTGCTCAAACTGTAGTCAAGCTTCTGAATATCCAAGGTAATGGTGTGACAAGATCAGAAGAGAGAGAAAAGGGGGAGGAGGAGGAGCGATCGGCTGGGCCCTAGAGTGACGGTAGAAAGGGGAGAGAGAATATTGGTTTTCTTCCCATAAAATGTGTCTATTGTATATTATTCTTCATTGCTCCCCATATGGGTATATAATGTTTTTGGAATTCCTATATTCTTGAATTTTCTTATATTTCGTCTTTGCCATTTTACCCATCAATAGATATTCTAAAATGTTTTAGTACTAAGTTGATCCAATGAAATGGCTCTAATTATGTGAATAAAAGACTTGGATTCGTCTGGTTTGGAACCAAAATCTACCTTGTCAAGATCGGTTTTGTATTATTTATTATATACATTCAAATATTTAATTGAAAAAAATTATCAAATCCTGATTCAATGGTCAACTGATACCGGTCTTTATAACCATGAGTGTTTGGGTTTAAATTTTCACAATTTCCAAGTTTTTATTTTTTTTTTGGGATTTATTCCAAGACAAGCTTGGCTCTAACTCCAGTTGGATCATGGCCAATCAAGGCTGATTCCCCAGGTTGATTTGGGTAGGGTAAAACCTAGATACTTGACTGGCTTTGATGGGGATTGAATCCAAGAATTTGGAATCAGTCCCTACCCGATAACAAATTGGCTACATATTCAGTTTGAGGTTTGAGGTTGGTTCCATTTAACCTACCTATTTTCTCACCCCTTCGAGGGCACCTCACAACTACATTCTACCATATACCTGGAACATCTCACATGATTTTTGGGTTCGATTATGATATTGGAAAAGATATAATATCCGAAAAACAACCAACCAATAAATTGAAATCATAAGTATGGTAGCGAATAAGGTGTTATTTATCAAAATTCATGTGTGAGTTTCATTGATCAAAATTCTTTCCATACCATATCTTTTCCGCATAAAAAATTTTCCCTTGATTCTAATATATTGATTCTGCTGCTCTTGCTTTAACAGTCTGTTAGCAAGCAATTCATGTGGGGCGATCTCTACCTCTAATCAGTTATCACATAATTGAGCCCCAAATTTGTAGACACCCCACGCTGCATCAATCACTGACTGTAGTTATATTTCGTCCTCAGGAGGCAGTTAAATGATTTGAGTTGTGGCTTGGGCCCAGTTCTGCGAATTTGACGAGCTAAGATTATAGAATTTAGACTTCAAATAACTGAGAGTCACGGGAACAAGTTTTGTTAGAGGCTCCTTCAGGACAGTGGATAATTATAAGTCCCATTCTCCCAGTGTCAGAAAGAATCTTGAACTGAAGGTGATGGGATAACATGGTAATCAACCTTGTTACGTAGTACATAATAAGCCCCACTTTCTTATACTCATCTTTTTTGTTCTCTTTCTCTAATGTTAAATATTGTCTGAGAACCAAGACTGCTTAGTAGCATGTCATGTGGGTCGCTGCTTGCTAACTCATCCCGATAGCATACATAATTGAGGAGCCGTTCTTGCAGTAGAACTGGGCATGGTTTTTAAAACCGACCCGGTGACTGAACCGGTCTGGGGTTCAGTTACCAGGTCGGAATGGTCAGTCTATTTTGACAAAAATAAATAAAAAATTTAAAAAAAAAAAAATTGAAAAACGGTCAAAAACCGTTTGATCGATTAACCAGTCGGTTCAGCAGTTTACTGACCAAAATCAACGATTTTGAGGAAAAAAACAGTTTTGGCGAAAAATGGAACTGATCAGATAACCGGTTCCCAATTTTTTTGGTCCAATCATCTGGTCCAGTCCGATCCAGTTTTGAAAACCATGGAACTGGGGATTGAATGAGCTACAGCCTTCAGCTGGGTAACATCTAATCCCAATCCCATCCGTGTGGTTAATTTCTGTCTTTATTTTTCCCTTCTTAATGGGTTGATTCTTTTTCTTCTTTCTTTTACCAATTGATGAATAGGATTAAAAGTCTATAATTACCCTCTTGGGCTTATAGCATGAATGCATGTAAATCCAAGGGGTGCAAGTAAATATATCCCTAATACTTCTATTCTGGATAGTAAGGATTAGTATTCCTCTTAGGCCTCATTTGGTTCATGGGAATAGGGATTTAGAATTGGAATTGAAATTAAAATCTCATTCTTATTTTGGTGGAGTGGCATTTCCCCAATTTGAGGGAATGGTTATTCCTTTAGGAATGAAATCCCATTCTTATTTATTCTAATTTTCATTTTTATTCCTATCTGAACCAACATATTATAGGAATGGACTATTCCCATTCCGATTTCAATTCAAACTGTAAACCAAACAGACCCTTATTGTTTTTTTCACCTCAAATCATAGATGACCAATTGCAATTTCAGCAATCAAAGTCTGAGAATTTGAAGGAACAACGATATGGGGGTAAAACTCTAATGGTTAAAAATGCCTAAGCCCAGAACTCAAAACTTGGATTAGGATTTGGGAGTAGTGTATCCTTCTCCAATGGCCATTTTGACCCATGAAATTATATGATACATTTCTGGCATGTTGGGTTTATCCCAAATAATAGTTTTACAAATTTACTTAAACATACATTGTAGTTTTTATTTTACTAAAACACTCTTTACCTAGTTATCTAGTTACTTAATCAATTTTTTATTAGGAATTGTTTGTTTTGCCATATATATAAAAATAATAATAAGTACCCCTGTTTATTTCAAAAATATCCTTAAAAACAAAATTGACCAAATAGATAAAAATAAAATGGTTGTCCATGTTTTAGTTACTTTTGATCAAATTTATTTTGTTTAAAACAGATTAAATTTATTTAAATTATATTAGTGTTAAAACTACCATTTTCCACTTTCATCTAAATTGATTGCAAACTAGAGGAAATGTTGTAGAAAAACACAAACTATTGGGCAGGAATTAGTAAATTTATGAAACCACAGAGGGTGTTTTAATAAATGACTTTTGTGTTTTTGTGTGTGAGTCACATGCCGACATGCGCAACAGTGGGTAGTTCTTCACGTTCTACTGGACCACTGTCTTCATCTTTATTCCCACACAAATCACTGGTCCCACTCTTTCTCTCTCCCTCGCTCATTTCTAATCAGAGAGACCAACTGTCCCCAAAGTTCAATTAGCCCATCATATATTTTAATGTTTTTTCTTTTTCTCAGCCAAATATCGGCCTCCTTGTATTTGAGGAAAAGAGGATCAGGGATGAGGAAAAAAATGTGTATCAAAATATGTATGTATGCATTGTATAAAGGAAGAATGCTGAGCTACATATCAATTTGCCTCCAATCAACACAGAAAGACCAAATTATCCTGATTCAATCATTCAGGTCCAGTGATTCACATGAAGGTTCCGGCTAAGATAGCATACCCACAACAAAAACCCCAAAAACTGAAAGTCCCAAACTTGGCTAAATTAAATCCTAATAAGTGAAACCAGAAACAAAAGCTGCAAAAAAGGCCAGGGCCAGTCCCAATATACCAAGTACCCCCTTGGAAGAAGATGGAGATGCGCCATTCTGATGAGCAGAAGGAGAAGGCGATGAGGCCGCAACTGAAGGTGGAACGGCAGAAGGCGAACCCGAAGGAGATGTAGCAGGAGGAGCCGAGACGGCAGAAGTCCGAGGCACCCTGATGTCAACTTTCTGCCCGGCATCGCAGTGTCCGGGGAAGCCGCAGAGAAAGTAGTAGTGACCGGTCTTCTTGATGGTGATGGTGTCATTGCCGGTGGCGTATGTGGCGATGGGAGAAGTTCCATTGCAAGCTTGGAATTCACTGTGGCTCACTTGCAGCACGTTGTGGAATTGCTTGTTGTACTCGAAAACTAAGCAATACCACCACAACAAGATAAAAGAATTAAAGATGAGATCTTCTAAAGGTGCTGCTACCCCAGCAAAAAAAAAAAACAAAATTTTTCTCTTCTTAATGCTTGTTTGTTTGTTTGCTTGCTTGCTTCTTTATTTTAAATTTCAATTAAATTGACCAGTGGATGCTTACAAATTGTCAATTATATTTTAGAGAACACCCAGAAAGCCAAGGCTTACCAGACTATGGGATCAAAATTTCAAAAGAATATGGAATCTGACAAGAACTACTTGCAGGGAGCTGGGCGTCAGAGAAATTCAGAGTAAAAAATAAACTACTACAGTACTACCACTGTTTAAAATTTTAAAATTTCAACAAAGGAGAATGTCTGCTTTTGGGATTGATTTCACGAGCAACCCAACAAGCCACGGATTCACAAAGCAGCTGTTCTTTTTGGGTGGCTTTCATTTCAAATGCCAGCCAGCACTCAGCAGTGACCACACGAGGTTGAGTTAAGCTGGGTCCCTCCAATAGAGCATGAGCCGATCGATGACCGGGCTGCACGCCTGCGCCCCACCAGCACTCGCAAGTCGGAAGCGCACAGAATGTAAACAAAACCAACCCCCCACTCGAGACTCGAGACAGAGAGTGAGAGAGAACCCTTGGGCCTTGACAGTGACAACCAAATTTCTTAAGATTTAATTAATTAAAAAATTATTTAGGGTTCCCAAAAGCCAATGACTCTGATCTGATCTGATAGTTTGATGGCGATGAATGGGTGCCACGTGACACTCACAGTTCGCCATTATATACGTATCCTGCATGTACAGTGGTGGTGTGAGTAAAAGGAAAAAGGAAAAGCGTTTCTAGACAGGTCTCCCGGAAAAGCTTGCTTCTGTTCGCGGAATCTGGGGTTCTCAATCTCTCCATCGGCATAGCAAAGTAGCAATCAGCCAAACACAAGTTGCTTTCAGTAAAATTTTGTAATTGAGGGAAGGAGGAAGAGTCTGTAGAGCCTTAGAGGAAGTTAATGACCGAGTGTCGGTGGAAGAAAGAAAGTAAAGTGAAACATCAAGATATCAACTCAGCAAGGCAACAATAAAGAGGAAAGCAGTAAGGGAGAGAATAGTCCCCCAAGAAATTTGGTTGTTTTCGTTCATGAATGTGTACAACAGGAACAGTAGGTAACGGATGAGCAGATTAGTGTCTGTGTCCTCCAATTTTAAAGGGAGAAAAAGAGCAGTAGAGTGACAGGAAATTGGAAAATGAGACACAGAAATAAAAATAAAATAAGAATGGGAGGTGAGAGCCAAAAGATCTAATCAAGTTGGGTTTTTCTTTTTTATTCCTTTTGATCCTACTGCAGACAAAGTAGACTGGTGGGGAAAGGTAAATCCAGAACCGGTGGACTGGATGGTTACGAAGAAATTGAGAAAAAAAAATATATACATTTCAGAACACAGCAAGGGGAAAGCTACTTTTCTACAACCCCCAATCCGTATCCATCATGAGCAATAGTAGCAGAATGAAAGAGAAAAAAAAAATTACATAAGGTAGAACAATATAGAACAATCAAACCCAAAAGGTAGAAAAAACAGTAAAAGCCTATCAAATCAGAATGGCAGGCCAGAATAACCCAGAAAGAAAAACAAACTGAAGCAGAAAAAAAGGGAGAGGGATCGAAAACAGAGGAAAAGAAAGAAAGCAAACACACAGATTTATGGCATAAAAACAATGGCCTGTTAAAGAAAAAGAGAGAAAGCACTTACTAAGGGTGTCCCCAACATGAAAGCTCTTGGAAGCAGCCCATTGGGTGTAGTTGGGACTGCCCAAGATCGTCCAGCCTGAAGAGTCCCCAACCTTATAAACGGCAGCAGAGGTAACTCCTATGGCAGCCATGAGCATGCATAAAACCATGGCTCTCTGAACCGAAGCCATGGCCGAAACAGAACCAGAAACTCAGAAAGACAGAGAGACCGCGGGAGAGAGAGAGAGAGAGAGAGAGAGAGGAGCTTGGGAGTTGGGAGTTTGGGAACTTATCAGTGTTGGTAGAGGTATTAATATAGAGAGAGTACCACCCAAGAGGCCCAGAGCAGACCGAGACTTCACCGAGTTTACATGAAAGGATCACAGAAAATTTTCTAATTCTAATTTTAGAGTTAGCTTCTTTAGAGCTACAAGTGGAGAATGACTAAAAAAATGGGTGTTCCCTTTTTGCCTTATATAAATTGACGGTGATGCCCCCACTCTTTCAGAAATTTCCAATTTAGGTTCGAACAAGATCTACAATTTTCTAAAATTATCCCACAAGATAAAGATAGAAGGTAATCTCAAAAAGGAAGCCATCACGCAGCAATCTGAGCCGTAGATCTCGAGGAAGCTCCTACACTGCTTTGATATAGATTGTCACACAATACCGAGACCCTAACGATTGAAAAAACCGACGAGAGAGGATAAAATCCATTTCTTCTTGTGACCCGATCCGACCACGATCCACACGAAGCTGTGATTGGGGGGCTAGGGTTTGTGGAAAGTATGGGACCCAGTTACCATGGGCTTCGACGAAATTTTGACCCAGTCACGACTCACCCAGTGGCACAATCTAACGTTGTTGGTATGGTTGCGCTACGCGCACTTTTTTTTCCTACGCTACGCGCACTTTAAATGTGACGGTGGAGTCGCGATCTGATTCACTTATTTGTTAGCTCAAAGTACTTTAATTGTTTTGTTTTTTCTTTTCTAACAAAGTACTTAAAATGACGGATAAAGTAAATGTTATATATTTTATATTGTTATTCGCATTTGTTCTCACTTCTCACTATGGTAAAAGAATGGCTTGAATTTTGGGTTAATTTTAAAGATATATATTTTATATTGTTAAAATATAGATCTAATTGATAAAATTTATTAATAATGAAAATATATAAAATATAAAATTTAATGAGAGAATGAGAGCTAATATCGTAAATGTAAGTATATATTAGTTTAAATTATATTTTATGCCCTCTCGACAAGAGAGAAACCAGATTCAAAAATGAGAATATTCTAATTAAGAATAGGATTATATAAGATTCAAATTATGTATACATTAGTTTGAATGATAATGAGCGATAATAGTTTGATAATGAATAAAAAAAGTGATTGTTCAAATTATATTTTTGTCCTTATTTATTACAATTAGAGGAAACCAAATTAAAATTGAAACAAAAATTTTACATTGTCCTTTTGATATACATAATTTAGAAAGATGGTTATTTTAAAAAAGAAAACAAAAACCACTAACTTAGACAGTCAAATCAAATGACTTAGAATATTGAATTGCCTACTTGAATAGTTTGATACTTGGGTAATCAAACTGGTAGACCCTTTTTTTTACGAGTATACCAATTTACCATGAATCTATAATATATATATATATATATATATATATATATATTAGGCAACAGTCCCCTTTAAACACGTGGCATCCTAAATTTTAATTAAACAAGTAGGCTTATCCATTCCTAAAAGCTCTTTACTTTTAGTTAAGAGCCCTACGATTCAAAAACTGGTTGTGCATTAAAGTTATGTAAATTAATAGAATTTAGTGTAATTAGAAAATCTACTATAACAATAATACTCAGTAATTAAATACTAATTATTAATAAAAATATAAGAAAATAATCATCACCATTACTAATTAAAAATAACATCAATTTTTAATTAAATAATTAAGTAAATATTACATTTTGATTAATCTTTAAATTTTTGTGGTAAAAAATTTAATTATAACAATTATTATGATAATAAAATCACTAATTAAATACTTAATAATAACAATAATAATTAATTAACAAAATATTATAATACAAATAATCTTTAAAAAATAAAGAAATAATAATAATAAGTTAGACATTTTTTGTTTAAATAAAATAAAAATTATTAAAAAATATTAGTCCCATACTTACTATAGGGTCATTCTCTAGTTATCATTAAGAGGAAAACATATTTATTTGATTCATGGGTCAATTAAAAAAACAACTTTGACCATTAGGGACCAATAGCTATGCTATTGAAAACATTCTTCAAAATGCCACGTCACCATGATGGTGGGGTAAAAAGATATTCCCTGTATCCTTTTATCTAAAATAATAAACGTGTCCATGCCAACGTTCTCAACAGCATAGGCTGAACTGAAGTCATATTGTTCTCTCGGGTTCACATCTACGCCGTACAAGGTATTGAAAACATCTCCGGATGATAATAATAGTATCAAAAACAATTGAGAGATGTTTCTAACACACGGCGAGATGTGCTGTGGCACGTTGTGGGGCATCCCTTATGGGGCGCAGAACTCTGTTCTCTCTCACTTTTTTAATATTACACTTCTACGGATGAAAATCGACCGATTATAGCATGCCACGTCAGCCTAAAATTTGATACCCACGTGTTCAGAGCTGACACGATATATCATGATGGCCGACAATATTACGAGTAGAACTTTAGAGGATTTTAAAACATCATGCAAGCCGGGCTTCAAAATAATAATTGATATACTCTCGTTTTGACGTGAAACCAAGGCAATTATACAGTAAAGAGTGGCGTTCAATCATGTTCGGGGGGGCTTGTTTACCTTCTAATCAAACAAAAAGCATCCCCACAACTACAACTAATTTGGCACAACCATAGCCGAATCAAGCAACTGGTAGGGTAATTATGCAAATCTAACTATAATGGGCCCATTTGATTGGGTAATTGAACGACTTCTGTCTTGTCATTTTGTAAATAAAATATTTGAGATTATAATCTTCTTAAATAATTATTCTTTAATTGGAAAAATCTATAATATCGAAAAAAATATGATACTAGAAAGGCTTTTACCAATTAAATTTGACTGGTTACCACTTTTACGATGTTACAAGTTTTTCTAATACTATGTTTTTCCAGTAACATAGACGGATCCTTCTTTTTTTGAAGTTAAAAATAAATCAATGTATAAGTCATACAATTTAGCCACACTTCAGCTGTTATCCAAACTGCTCCTAAATATAGTTACATGTTTTAAAAGGGATTTAATAATAACAAATTAATATTAGACAGGAAATGAAGTGGCACCCCACTTGTGGCGTGTGTGATGATGCTTAGCGTACATACATTGTCGTCATGAATTGGTGTCCCACTCCATGATTATTCATTAGGGTTATATAAGGTTGTAGTTGGAATTGGAATTTGGAAACACTTGAAAGGGAAGCTTGAGGTTTGAGTGCATCGATCTGGGGTTGGGTCCCATTGTGTGAAAATGCTGAATGCCATCATTAACAATGCCTACTGCCTACCATTACCAAATCATTCTCACTTCTCATAGCCTTCACCCATCTGGGTTTGCTTAATTTTCATGTGTTAGAACTTAGTTGGTGAATCAAATAATCCTCTTCCCCATTTTCCTGGGATTGAATTGTTGAGAGTGGTAATGATTCATTTTATGTAAGAGGGACCCCCCATCCCAATTCCCTAACTGATTAGTGCTGGTCCCTCTCACATTTGAATTTTGAAATTTGAATACAACATTGGGGTTTTGGTTTGGGTCAATTTGGGTTGGTGAAGAACACTCTTAGAAACAAAATTAAATTTTCGAGGAGATTTCAAAAGGGAAAAGGGAAAAGGGAAAGATATTAGCAGAAAAAAGACAACTTTTTGCCTTGAATATCAATAAAACATAAAATTTTTATAAAATAATAAAAATAACTTTTTCTCAAAAATATCAAGAAAGGGCAAGACACTGTTCATCGTCTTCCTCTCCTTCTCTCTCTTCTCTCTCTTGCTCTTCTTAATGAGACCGAAGCTCTGGTGTAACTGTGACGTCTGTCGTAGTTATCTCACTGCGAGCTGGTCGATTGAATTCGACAATCTCTACGACTATCCTCAACAAGTCTCCCAGCAAGACCATCCATGCCCATTTCCTCCGAAACACGATTATAGTCAATCCGGATAACGTCAAGTATATGCTGAAGACAAGGTTTGAAAATTACCAAAAGGGAAGCCTTTCTCCGTGATCCTGGGTGACCTCTTGGGTCGTGGCATCTTCAACAATTTTATTATATACTCTTTCTCTTCACTCTTTCTCTTTCTCTTCTTCTCCTCTTATTATTAAAATTCTGCTGTAAATTAGAGAAACTGAAATTTCTTCTGTTGTTTGCAATCTCAGCAAACCTCTTCTCAATTTTCTTGATCCTATGAACCATCTTAATGTTATATGGAATTAAACGTGAAACTGAGTCCCGCATCTTTCTTTTGGATATGGGGAAGAGTCTGCGTACCTTTATTCTCGCGAGATTATTGCGTACCTTTGCTCTGATGCTAACTTGACGCTTCAATTGTTTTTTTTTTATTAATAACGCTTCAATTGTTTTTGCAATGCTTTTGTAGCGAAATCATCCACCACGTCCTCCGCATCATATACTCAGGGTCTGTTGGACTTGTTGCTTCTGCATTCAAAATTGCAGCTTCGATGGTAGATAGTAGATTCTCGAGCCTCCAACGCATTTCTTCCAAGTTCCAGGCCGATGATGCCTCTTCAAATACCCAACCACCGGCTTCCTTGAGAATCATTCCTGCAATGCTATAAAGACCCGTCAGTTCCATTTTTCTTGGTCTTCTTCCTTAATAATGATAGATGTTACAGTTACACCAGAGATTCAATCTCAGTAAGAAAAGCAGAAAAGCAAGAGAAAGAAGGAGAGGAAGAGGAAGAGGATGAACAGTGTCATTTAAAAAAAATATTTTATTTTGATTATTTTATAAAAACATTATCTTTTATTGATATACGGCAAAAAGTTGCCCTTTTCTGAAAGAAACCCTTGAATTACGGGTTTTGCACTCTACATATTTGCCTTTGTACTCCTTCCAAACTGATGGCAATGCAAATGATTTAAATGAAAATTCTAACCTATTTTTATTTTAAATTTTAGTTTATTTTGTTTGATTAGAGTACAAATAAAGTAAATTAAGATATGAAATAGAATAAAGTAAAACCCAAAACAAAATTAAACAAGAATTTGCATTTTTTTTTATTTGCACTCCCATTCATTTGTATTAGTGCGAATAGAATTGCACTGCAACCAAACATAATCTAAGGGATAGGCGAGGTAATAAACCCATTTAAGAATGGCAACAAGGCAG